GGTTTCCCAAAAGAAAGTCATCAGCTCAACAGAACTTCCTGCCGAGTGATGGGGCAAGACGGGCTGCTGGACCCCTGAGTAGAGGAGCCCGCCGGGCGGGCCCTGGAGGCTCCCCCGAGGATGTGCTGTCGGCAGGTGTGAGAAGAGACTGAGGCCGAGGGAGCCCAAGGGTGGTCCTGATGTCCCCACTCAGGCAGCCACAATCGTTGCCAAGCACCAAGGAAGGTTCTGGAAACCGGGTGTGTGGCCTCCAGGGACTGCCACTCTGGCTGCTTTGGGCTTGGCCACAGGCTCCGCTCTTCTGGTCTTTCCGGGGAGCACGGAGGAGCTTCCTCGGGGGCTGCTGCGGAGTGACAAGTGGTCTGCAGCCATGAGCCCAGGGCACCTGTCTTTGACCCGGGTGGGGACAGCTTGTGAGGCTGAGGTCTTGCAGGGAACAGGGTTTCAGCAGGCGGACGAAGGCAGGAGGCTGGGCCAGTGGAGGCTGTGCCAGGTCCCTGTGACCCTGTCCCCCTCTGCAGGGACCTTGCTGTCTGTCTTCCTATTCATAGCTGTCTTTGTGCCTCTTCCCCTGGCCACCTGGGGAATGAAATTAACAGAAGACTCCTGATTCAAGATTGGATCGGAAGTGCTATCGGGGATGCTGGAACGTGGTTAGAATGTCAGGAGACAGCCAGGATGGCATCTAATGAAAGGCACCCAGGGAGACGTGTTGAAGAAATACTTAGGAAGCACCTTGGGAGGCACAGATTAGGGTGGGAAGGGGAGGAGTGAGCTTCTCAAAGGGCCCCGTCAGTGATCGAGCGAGCGAGCCAGCCTGTTTCCACTTGTGTGTGAGCCGGGCCCCTTTGCCCTCTGCTCTCGGGACAGCCTGGCCTCTAAATAAAAGTGGAACAGATCTGCAGTGATCTAAAGGTGCTTGCAGATGAGCTTGGCGAGGACGTCCGGGCGGGGCTCTGACCTCACTGTCTCCTCCCTTGCACAGTTTCTGCATTTGTGCCGAGTTGGGGTGGGCAAGCCCCTGGGTCCTGTCACTGTGGTGCCACTCAGTTCTCTCCAGCAGCTGCCACTGGCTTTCGGTTAAGGCAGACCCAGCTCTTCCCTGGACAGGTCGCCACCCAGGACAACTCAGGGGACGGGGCTGCCCCGGGACTGAGGGGGAACATGCTTCCCAAGATCTTCAGGCCACGGCTGAGGCCGTGTGAGAAGCCTCCTCATCAAATAACACGGGTGACTTCCGCCTACGAGGTCCTGCCCATGGGGCGGCGGGGTCTCTGCGTTCATGTTTCTAGTGTGGGGAGGTACGAGTCAGAATTGTGAGGGCGGATTTCCAAATTCTCGGTTCTGAGCTGTGTCAGGCTCGCATATCAGGCCCGGCTCTTGGTGGCGTGAGGCTCAGAGAGCAGCTTGTGTCTGTGCCCTTGGTGTGAAGTTTTGGGACGGTGCCCGAGGAAGCCTCCTGGACGACAGCTAGGAGGCAAGGGAGAGCAAAGCCACAGAGGGACTGGCAACGCGCTCGAGAGTGTGGACGAGGAAGGAGAGGTTAATGTTTAGGGAGAGGCAACCTGGGGCCTTTACCCCAGGCTCAAGGTCAGGCTCCTCCCCGCCGCCGTGGGACAGCACAAGGACATAAGACGCGCGTGTGAGTAACCGTGGCCCAAGGTGGAGCGTGACAGATACTACTGAGAGGGAACAGCAGGGTGCCACAGTGACTCAAAGAGCTCCCTTCCAACTTTCAGAATGAGGAGACTTCCTTCAGGTCCCAGTCTTTCAGCGGAGCTAGGGAGGAGGACGACCAGCGCTCCAGCCCATGTGACAGCACGACAACCACGAGAGGCAGGAGACAGGCAGAAGGTGCCCGGAGAAGCCCGGGGTCTCTTGTGGTCGGATCTGAAGCTGCTTGGGCGGGGGCCTCAGGGTGGAATACGAGTGGAAAAGGTGGTTGGCACCGATGGTGGGGCCCAGAGAAGCTTGCTAAGGCGTTTGCAAGCAGTGAGTTGCTGAGGAGGGCTTTGAAGGTCCCGGTCAGCCTGGCCGTGGAGGACAGGAGCAGCAGGAAAACACGGTGGGATCAAGCGCATTTCGCAATACAGTTGCCAGGCATGGGCGAGAGCTTGAGGGAAGGTGTCGGGGAGCAGTGTGGGACCTGGCTTGGGGTGGGGCTGACGGAGGGGAAAGCTGGCTCCGAGAGGGGCGTGGGGAGCGTGGGGTAGGGAAGCCCGCAGGAGCAGCACGGTTTGATGGGGTGAAGTGCGCTCCCCTCCACCTGGAAGGGATGAGGCACTGCAGGAGGTGCCTTCTGGGCCTTCGGGCTGCACTCTTGGCACCTGGAGTCGGACCCATAGCTTGATCGTCTTCAAGGCCTCTAAATATACCTAGTGCACAAGGCAGCCCTGGTGCCTACAATGGAATACTTACGAACTAAAGATTTAAGGACCAGTTTAGGTGCCACGATCTGGTCTAGAGAATGGACAGGGGACATTACCTGAAGCCCCACGGTGGGTCCTGGTCTCCTGCGAGCCACGACAGCCCAAGGCAATTGAAGAATAAAGACGGGAAACGAGGCACAGAGGAGCTGGGTCTTAGGACTGCTCAGTGTTGCTCTAGGTAACAAAGACAGAGGCCTCCCAAATCATCCAGTATTTATTGAATACGACCGTGGGAAGGAGTAGGACGCCGGTCTTGCTTGGAAGGCCTCCAGTGAATTACAGCCGAACAGCTGGTGTGAGGGGAAACAGGGCTGTCGGGGAGTTTTCTTGCTTATCTTGCTCGGATACAGCAAACTGATACTGGCACCGGGTGCAATTAGCAAGCAATTTATAGGTCAGTGAGGAGCCATCATTCAGGGGACAGGATTTTAATTGGGCTCACGCTGACCTCAGCTGCATGTAACTCAGCAGGGTCCTGCCACTTCCCAGAACAGGATTTAGGCCTCAGTGACGGCCACTAGCAAAGGAGCAATGCTAGCCCAGCTCTGCTACCTGACACGCCCATTTGAGTCACGTAGCGCTGCAGTCTAACTCCTGATATAAAACAGTACAGCTGAATTAGGGAAAGCAAGGAGCAGATGCCCCTCACAGCCCGCTTGTTCTGGGCAGGAATGTCTGCTACAATCTGCAGCCCACATAGAGAGCCAGCTGCAGTCAGTTAGAGGTGTTGGGGATCAGGGTTCCCTGTGCTTTTGGGGCGATGTGGTTACTCTGATCTCTCAGGCAGTCACTGAGTCCCCACTAAAGTGGACAGATGGGCTGGGCAACTATGTGGCCAGGGAAGGGAGACTGTCCCCGAAGCCACCTGCACCGTGCAGTGGTCACACTCACTGAGCTTGACTTGACGGCTCAAAAGCAGCCCCTTTCCTGGGAGCCCTGCACGTTTTAGGAGCTGCAGATCAAGCAGGGATAAGCGCTGTGTGCGCGTGCAGAAGCATTGTCCCTTGTGGCAGTGCCGATGCCCAGGTGGGAAGTCACCTTCCCTCAGAGGGGCCCCAGACCCACAGGTCCTTCTCCCTCCCGCTCTGCAGTGACCGGTAGCAGCTCCACTGCTCCTGTCCCCCTCCGAGCGCCTTGCCCACCTGCACATGTGCCACCCCCTCCCTCAGTAGAAGGAGGGACCCTCATAGGTGAAGGCACCTGGGGACCGGAGCAAAGGGGCTGGGCTGGGCACCTGAGGCTGGCACGGCCGCGCCTGCTGGAGGAGACTTTTGAGGTGCCTGCGGAACTTGACCCCCACAAAGACGTAGAGCACCGGGTTGAAGCAGCACTGGGAGAAGGCCAGGTTGCGGCAGACCAGCACCATGAATTCCAGCCGCTGGCTGGTCTCGCAGCTCTGGATGACCCCGATGCTCACCAGTGTCTGCAGGAACATGATGAGGTTGTAGGGGGCCCAGCTGAGGAAATAGGCCACCACGATGGTGAAGATGAGCCGGACCGTCCGGGGCCGCTGCTTGGATCTGGAGCGGAGCAGGGTCCTGAGGATCTGCACGTAGCAGAACAGGATGGTCGTCATGGACAGCAGGAAGAAGATGTTGTGCTGGTAGACGGAGGCCAGCAGACCCCGCATTTGCGCGTAGGTGCACTGCGACTCGATCACCTCGTGGGAGATGGCTTCAGGGATGGAGGACAGGACGCTGGCCGCCCACACAGCGGCAGTCAGCAGCACGCGGCAGCGGAGGGTGTGGACGCGCAGTGTGGACAGGGGCCTCACCACCGCCAGGTAGCGGTGCACGGTCATGAGGGTGAGGAAGAAGGCGCTGCTGTAGAGGCTGACGGAGAAGGTCATGCTGAGCACCTTGCACAGCAGCTCCCCCAGCACCCAGCCCCAGTAGTACGTGGACACCCACACTGGCAGCAGGCAGGAGAACACCAGGTCTGACAGGCACAGGTTGAGGATGAAGAGGTTGGTGAGGGACTCCAGGTTCTCGTACTTCACCAGCACCCACAGCACCAGGCTGTTGCCCCCCAGGCTGAGTAGCAGCACCAGAGAGTACAGCACCGTGGTGGTGAAGGTGGCGAACGTGAAGACCTTGTTCTCACACAGGAGGCTCCCGAGGTCGTAATCAAAATAGGCAGTGGGCTCAGGGGTGCCCCAGGACTCCATCCGGACTGGGCAGCTGGGACACCGGGCGTGTCTGCAAGGACAGGCAGGTGGAGCTGAAAGCTCGGTGTGGGATAAGAGACCTCTAGGGGCCAAAAAGGAAGGTCAGCTGGGTGTGGCAGTGTGTGCTGGTAATCCAGCCTTCTGGGAGGCTGAGGCAGGAGGATTGAAAGTTGGAGCTCAGCCTGGGCAACTTAGTAAGACCCTGTCTTAGAATAAAAAATAAAAAAAGGGCCGGAGATGTGGCTCAGTGAGAAGGCCCTGGTTTCAATCCTTGGTACAAGAAAAAAAAAATCATGACCCATGCATCAGCTGCAAATTGTTTATAATGTTTTTCTTTTCATTCTTTTTCTGTTTTACTGGGGATATTAAACTCTAGTGAGCTATGTTCCTAGCCCTTTAAAATATTTTTTAAAAATGTTTATTTAAGCGGGCGTGGTGGCGCAGGCCTGTAATCCCAGCATGGGAGGCTGAGGCAGGAGGATTACTGGGAGTTTGAGACCAAACTGGGCTACATAGTGAGTTCCAGGTCAATCTCAACTACATAGTGAGACCCTATCTAGACCCCCAATTTTCCAGGTCAATCTCAACTACATAGTGAGACCCTATCTCAATCCCCCCAAATTAAAAAATAAAATAAAATAAAATAAAATTTTAATTTAAATTATTTAAAATTTATTTAAATTATTTTTAATTTTGAGGCAGTTTTGCTAAATCACTAAGTTGCTCAGGCTGGGCTTGAACTTGTGATCCTCTGTCTAAGCTTCCAAGCAGTGCATTGATTTCCTTCTGTACTAAGCCTTCTTTCTCCTTGTAGACTGACGCTGGGGAGTTATTTAACCCCGAGAACCTCAGGTTCCCCTTTGCCAGTGGCTAAGGATCTCAGGGTCCTTCTTCCATGTCTTCAGCAAATGTCCAGGAAGCAGTCACTGTGCCTCCCGCCCGGCCCTCCCTGCTTTCTTCCCTTTCCCTCCAGTCGAGGGCAGGAACCCTGATGGCTGGGTCAGATGGGAACCCTTGCTGTGTCCAGGAGCAGCCTGGGGAATGGACCTCGGCAGGACGCCGGCGAAGCACCCTCCCCCTGACTCCGACTCCTCCGGTGGACAGAGAGTCCCGGAGACCGAGTCCCCACTAGCATGGAGGAGCCGCGCTCAGGACGGAGAGCTGGGGTTAGCGCGTGTCACGGACGTCAGCAACCACGATGTCCCAAGGCCCCTTGGGAGGTCAGGGACAGGGGCTCTGAGGGTCCGGGGAGCCCCACTCAGCCGCCGCCTGCTAGCCAGGACTGGGGCGTCGCTGAGTGCAGAGGCCTGGGGTCGGCTGGGGACGGAGAAGGGAGGGAGTGGCCGGGAGGGCTGGGGTCTCCACAGAGGCTTGGAGAGGGAGGACGGGGTCCCACCGCCACTCTGCGCCCGGCGCTGTGCTGACTCCGTGGACCCGCCACGCATCTGGGTGAGCCCGGGCACCCAGGGCTGCGTTATTTAGTGTGTAGACCACCCTGGGCTTCACTCCCGGGAATGACTGCATACACTCCTGGGCAGCCAAACAGGCTTCACATTTGGAGAAACAAATGAGACCTGTGAGTCCTGGACTAAAACCCACACAAGTTCTGGGGGCGGTGGGCGAGGTGCTGAGCTACCCAAAGCAGGGCGAGGTCGCCAGTTTTGTGGCGCCGGGTTGAAGGCAGGACCTGAGCGGGGTGAGGGCTCCCGGTTCACATGTTTTTCTGCCTTGGAGCTGGTGGCCAGGTTTGAGGCAATCACAGGAAGTGCTGGCAAGGCAGAGGGGAGCACAGAAGGGAAAGCGTTAGAGAGCGAGAGCAACACTGGGGCCAGACACGGGCCGGCGGGCACAGGAGACACAGAGCCCCGAGCCGAGAGCGAGCCGCTGCTCCCTCAGTGGACACAGCTGGGAATCTGAGCCTGACAGGATAGTCCTGCTCCGACAACACCTACAGCAGCAACAACAACAGTGTCCAGAACAACTTGGCCCTTTCCAGAGGAGTGGTGCAGAGCCCAGGGTCTCCACACCGCAGCGCTCACAGGATGCAGTCTGGTATCTTTCAGCACACGAGGGACACGGAACTCTGCTCAAACGAAAAGACAATGGCGAAACTAACCCTAGATGGGCCACACGCTGGAATTTCAAGTGAAGATTAAAATGCACCTATTATAACTGTGCTCAAGAAAATAATGAAACACAGCCGGTTGTGTGGTGCACGTCTATAATCCTCGCACTCTGGGAGGTTGAGACAGGAGGATCATAAATTTAAGTCCAGCGTGAGCAATTCAGTGACTTAGTGAGAACCTGTCTCAAAATAAAACATAAAGGAGAGGATGTAGTTCAGTTCAAAGGCCTTGAGATCAATCCCTGGTCTCTCTCTCTCTCTCTCTCTCTCTCTCTCTCTCTCTCTCTCTCTCTCACACACACACACACACACACACACACACACACACACACCCAATAACCCGAAGTATATTCATACTAAATGGAATAATAAGAAATCTCAGTAAAGAAAAAGAAGCTGTCCAAAGGACACAAAAGGAATTACAAATCGATGCAAAGAACAGTGGTGCCGAACCCCATCCCTCTTCAAGTCTCATTCTGGGGCTTGGTTCCCTTGGCTGGTGAACCCCTCCTCCTCCTCCTCCCTTCTCCATAGCCTCAGTGACCACAGAGTGAATTTTGCTCTCTGGGCCATGACATAATTTGGAATGAGAAACACAGCTCTAAATTGTACAACCGCCGACAGTATGAATTTTCTGAAAGGCTTGTTGTCAAATAAACCCCTCTACTTCCTTAGCAAAAGGAAAAGAAGAACATTCTAAACGTCAGTTATAGTCTAAGTATGGTCCACAGGCCTGATCCCTAAGAAAGAATGCAGGTTCTTTGGGAACCGCTGGGTGAAGCCGTACCTAGAGGTAGGCTCAGAAATTTGCTTCCATTCCAGCCAAGCCAGTGGCTCTATGCCGCCAAATCTCAAGAACCCCGGCAGAGGATATTAAAATGAGAGTTTGCAAAACGTGTAGGGTGCCTGGAAGGGCGCTCACCTGAACCCACAGCTCCTCACAGGCGTCCTGCGGCGTCTGTCTACAGAGACGGCTCTGCTTCTCCCTTCCTGGTCTAGGTACCCCCCACCTGCCCTGGTCAGAAACAAAAGTAACATTCCAGATATGAGTGGTGACACTGGACATCCTTGGCCGTTTCTCATCTCAGGGCGAAGTTACTTTCTATTCCTAATTTGTCTGTTTCCTATATATATATATTTTTTAAATCATGGAAGGGTGTCGCGTTTTTGTTAAATGCTTTTTCTGCATCCCTGGAGTCTCTCTGCACAGAGACACCACAGGCGTCTTAACATTCCTTTGCTTATAGACGGACATCCTGGTTGCTACCATTTCTAAGCAGCTATGGAACATACTTCATATACTGTGGAAACCCGTATACATCTATGTATAAAAGGCGATTTTACAGATCATACGTTCTTGTGTGAGATTTCTGTTTGGCATGAGTTTTGAGCTCCGCTGAGTAGAACACCGGAGGTACGACTGATGGATTACATGACAAGGCTGTGTTGAGCTGTAGTAAACTGGCACGCTGTCTTCTGGCTGGTTTTGCACTCCCATGTGTGTTCCGGTCCCACCCTGCCAGTCCTGCTAGGAAAGGCCCCTTCCAAAGTGCATGCACAGCTATCTCAGGGTTTTATCATGCAACTCCGTAAGGATATATGATGCTGAGAATCTTTGCATGTGTTTTTCACCATCTGTGCGTCATCTGTGGTAAGGCGTCTGCTCAGAATTTTGCTCATTTTAAAGTTCAGTTGTTTTGTTTTCCTTCGCTCCTTCTAAGAGGGTTGTATTATGTGTTTGAGATAAAAGTTCTGCATCAGATATGTATTTTACAAGCGTTGTCTTCCAGTATGTGACTTATCTTGCTCATTCCTTCAGGAGTATTCCCAATTTTAATGATGTCCAACCTGTTATTTTTAACTTGTATAGTATTGGATCTAAAAACTCATTGAAAAATCCAAGGTTGTCTTGATTTTTTTCCCTCATATTAGCTGCTAGAAGTTCTATACTTTTGCTTCTAGATTTAGGTCCTTATTGAATTAATTTTTGTGAAAGATGTAAAATCTATAGCTAAGTTCTTTTTTGTGTGAATGTACAATTGTTCCAACCTCACTTGTTGGAAAGATTTCCCTTTTACCTGTTCATTTATTTCTACCGCTTTATTAAAAACCAATTGATTTAATTAGCATGGGCCTATTTCTGGGCTGTCTAGTGTGTCTGCCAGTCAATTTTTATATTCTTTTGTCAATATAACACTGTCCTTTTTTTTTTTTCTTTCTTTCTTTTGGTACCGGGGATCAAACTCAGGACCTTGCACTTGCAAGGCAGGTACAGTGCCACTGAGATAAATCCCCGGCAAATATAACGATATCTTAATTATTCTAGTTTTATATTAAGTCTTACATCTTGGTCGTCCTAGGCCTTTGACTCTGGTCTTCTTGTTCAATTTTATGTTGACTATTCTAAGTCTTTTAAGATCAGTTTGTTGTTGACACCTATAAAACAACCTACTCAGTTTTGATTGAGTTGCATTAAAGCTATAGATAAGTTGGGAAGAATTATCATCTTAATAATAGTAAGTCTTTTATCTTTGATGGATCTCCCTATTTATTTAGACATTGTTTTATCTTTCATAGTCTTACAGTTTTCTTCATATTGGGCATTTACATATTTTGTTAAATTAATGTGTAAGCATTCAATTTTTGGTGCCAATATAAACATTAATGTTTATAATTTCAAATTCCAAATGTTCATTTGCTTATATTCAGAAAATCAATGCTCTTTGTATATTGACTTTGTATTTGCGGGTTTCCTATAATTTCTTACAAATTGCAGGAGTTATTATTTTTATTGTTGTTATTGATTCTTTGTGACTTTATATAGAGAGAATAGTGCCATTGGCAAACAAGGAGACTTACATTCTTCTGTCCAAGT